GCTGCGGTTGGTAGGCTGTGTCCTTGGGGAACTGGGACAAAGAACGGCTCCGCCAGCTGTAGGCGACACCTCTCCTAGGAAAGGGTGATAGTGTAACGAGATTGGAAGCCCTGCAAAGGCAGGGAGGGTCTTGGTGATGATGGTTGTGCGCACCGCCAGCTCTACGCGCTTCAGGGATCAAAGTGGTCTCTACGGGGTGTTTTTGTGCCAGGCGAGGATGGAATAAGAATAGAATAGGAATGGAATAGAACGGAATGGAAGTAATGGCAGTTTCAGCTGCTGGAAGAAGACAGAATTCTTCCTGGCTCTTTGACTGGAATCTCTGTGTTTATCACAGAAATGCAGAGGGTGAGCTTGACTCACCTTGGGTTGGCTCCCACAGATTTTTAGAAGGAACAGGAAGAGGACAGCAAGCAAGCCTATCTTGTTTCTGGTGCAATACAAAACTTCTCCGAGTCACTCCTCTTCCAAAAGCACTAGCTTCTCTGGTGCCGTCAGACCCACAAATCTGCCCTATTTGCCCTAACAGGAGGAATTGAACAAAACCAAAGTTGCAATTTCTTGCCAAGAAACGACACTTTATTAATTCAAGAGAAACAAAGCGTTTTATTCCTGCAGTAAGGAAAGATATATTATTCCCTCCAAATAAGCTGTATTTGCAGGGGCAGACAGAACGTATGACTATTACTCTGTTAGTGCAGGTAGGCTTTCTAGCTCCAGCATTACTTGGGATTGGTGTCTGAAGCATTTGGGCTCTGCTTGTGGAACCCTCTGGAGAATGACATGTCCAGAATTATTTTGTTCTAAATGTCTTTTTTTTTTTAATTTAAGTGTTCTTCAGTCTGATTTGAATGAGATGCCCTAGAGTAAAGGCCCTCTCCAGTGTTCCCGTCCATAGGGCTGGACAAGATGCGAAAGCAGGTAAAAAGATAACCAGGAATTGAGTGCGCTGATTAAATTTTACTGGCAGGCCATGCAGTCAAGATTAGGTAACTACCGATGTGTATTCACCGCTACTTCATGAATTGACTGGACCTACTAACTGTGTGGTTTTGAGCTTTGTTACTAACACCAGCTAGTGATTTCTGTTATGCCATTGGCTTTAACAGGGCAGGTGTTCATGCACGTAGCAAGCACATCCTTAAGGATGTTTTTTCAGTAAAATTGATGGACACGTGAGCTATGCAGTGTAGGTATCAAGTGATTGTATTTTCAAATATTATTTTTCTTTTGGCTAAGTGATCACCATCTCTTCTCAAATGAAGCAATGTTGAGCAGGGGGTTGCAGGGGAGCAAAACCAAGCCCTTGCTCAGGTCTTGCAATATCAGCTGCACAGTGGACTTAACTTGGCTGGTGCCAGCGTAATACAGCGAACACATGGGAGGGCACAGGAACAATGAGCAATTGGCAGAAACTCATCTTGTCCATGGAGTATTTCATAATGTGCGTGTCTGTTCTCTGTGGAAGCAGCAAGCTTCTTAATGTTCATTCAGAGGAGAATAACAGAAATCGCTTTGATGACAATGCTTAACTGCATTGCTAAGCCTTTTTTTTTTTCCCTTGCTGTGTAAAATTTTGTATTACTGGAAATGAACTACTTACGCTGTCTGCAAGAGATAATAATGCTCCTAAATGAGAACATTATTGTAGCTTCCCCCCCCCCCGAAATGTGTTAATGGGGTTTTGCAGTATATTTTCCCTTTATTAATGAGCTTAGCTCATGTAGTGGGAATGCTGCTAACTAAATTTAGTACTTTTTCTGTATAAACAAGGTGATACTGTTCATTGACTTGGTTAACTTGTAAAGAATTGCAGATTTATGCTACTAAATACAAATGAGTAGGGTTACTTAGGAGGACTTTCGGTCAAGGAGAAGGGCAACAGAAAAGGAATATCTAGAATGCAAAAATCAGGACTGTCATCTTTTCCCTTCTTCATTCTCCCTTCCAGCCTCTCCCCCCCCCCCTCACACAGGGACAAGGCGGCTTCACCGTG